CTGAGTCCTCCCGGAGAAGGGCGGCATACAAATAATAAAATTCTATTCTATTCTATGCAAAGATGTCCTGCTCCTGGTAGTATGTAAACATGTAATCGTTAAGAATATCAGAGTACCAGTTATATTACTAACACTGGAATTCCCTGCTGTCTTCCATTGAAGGATTGCCCAGCTTCCCAGCCCAGACGAGACTGGCAAATAGCAACGCTTACTCAATCTTTCAAACAAGGACATCCCACAGCCTCTGAACACTGTTGCAGGTCCCTGAAACTGCACCAGTTATGTTTAGTTAGGTGTAATTCCCCACTTATCTGAAGCTCTCCCATGGTGCAAAAATCCACCACATTATCTGGCCCCACTGTTTATATTTATTTCCTGATCCAAACTCATGGCTGAGTTCCAGTCAGAGATACTATTAGATCATTGCTCTACACACCAACACTCCTCTGGCAGTCCAAAGGAAAAGTGCAACTGGGGGCTCAATCCAGTGAATGATTGCTCATCATGGTCTCAAGCAACAGCTACGCTTGTTACATCTACCTTCACGTACAGGCTTGGAAAGGAACAAATGTATGCGTGTGTTACATTATGTTTAACCATATAGTGACTTATTCTCTATGCAGTTTAACAAAAAAAGGACAAATGCTAAGAAACAAGCTTTTGAGATGTCTCAAAACTCAGATGAAAATATTGTATTTTCTCATGAAAATCAAAGAGACAATAGAATGACTGCTTAATGTTACTACTCAAAACTTCAAGAACAAACTAACGGTTCATTGTGGGTTTTTTACAAGCTATGTTGCTATTTATTAGAACGGCAATGCTTCCAATTTGATTCCCCAAAATTGCTTTGAAGTGGGAATAGTGAGAGAATGCACAAAAATTGCACATTTCTGCAGTTTTTCAAAGCGACAATATCTTTTCTCAGAATAACACAACAGCTGTATAATTCTGAGAAAATCCACAATGAGTTTAAATAGCAGACAAGGGCTGCTGTTTCTGGTCTTAAATGAGCACTGAGAGTACTAATACTGTATTTTAAGAAAGACGAACTAGAATTCAATTATCAGAAAACCCAATGGCATTTGCCAAAAGGCCCAAGAACCATTCCTGGAAGACAGATAGTCCACAAGATTGAAACAGGTGTCGTGTTTCAAATATCTAAGAGTACTCCTTCATTTTGCCAACAGAAGAAAGCTCAATGAACATCACATTTCTGAAGATGCAGAGAAGCTCACCTGTCATCCTCAAATCCGTCAAGATAAGAGGTGGACACTATACTCCCTGCAATATGCAAAGCCAAAGTGAATAGTGCAACTTTTTTATGGTATCCAGCTGGGCCCCTTTCCAATTTTTCACCATTACGACTTGCTTAATTCAAATGTCTAAGGATGACTCTTCAAATCCAAAAATGTGTCTCTCTAACACTATCCTGAGACTGGAGACAGGTCTCATGAAAGTGGAGGCTAGAGTGTGGGTAACTATACTCAACTATTGGCTCACCCCCCCCCCCAACGTCTCATTAATGAGGGATGACTTTCAGTCCACATGGAAAAAGATAGTGGTAACTAAAATCCCACCCGTGACCTTCTCTCCAGGTCTTCTACTCCGCATGGGACATGATCGGGCTAAAGCAGCCATTAAACAACATGTAGCAACTGGATCTAGCCAGGCTTCCAACCTTTATTGCCAATGAATCCAAGAGCTACTCTACCCTATGACATACTTAACTAATCTTAAAGAACCTAACCACTGGAGGGTGTTTATTCTGGCATGATGTCATGCGCACCTGTAAGCTGTCATGAAGGCCGATACAGGAAGATTCTCTATCCACAGATACAATGCTTGTAACTCCACACCAAATGTACTTCTACAAAAATATTTCCACAGCCTCATCTCTCTGTTGTGGCATCGAAGTCCATTCCTCATAGAACAATTCTCTTATCTCCTGATAGATACTCTCTCAGATACTAACCTTGCTACAATATAGAATGTTGCCAGATTGTGCATAGCAATGCTTAACATCTGCCACAAACTAGTCTTGATGGACATCTAGTTTTTCATTCTAGAATGCTCTGTGTATTGAGAAAGATTTACTTTGCTGCACAATAGACTTTATGCTCCCCTACACCCATCTAATGCTTCTTTCCCCTTCTTTTAGATGTTTGCTCTTCAAATATTTTTTAGCCTTTTGATATACTTTCTATGCTTTTTAATTGACCCTTTCTTATACTATTTTTGACACTAAAATTTGATTTATTTGCACGAGGCTGCTGGTTAATTATGTGCACATGACTGTACATGCCACAGATTTTTGAAACAAGTCTTCAGAAATTTACATGATCAGTGTTCATGACTGATTTGAAATGTTATCATGAACGAGACTTAGAGGAAACACGTCCTGTGTATTCCATAAACCCTGCAGCTGCAAATCCTTCTTGGATTGATTGGGAATGAGACACCAACAAAGCTAAAGGATAAGATGGGATTAATCTCTCTACACTTGTGGCTCTATACCAGAAAGTGATAACCAAATCCACCTCATACTCTGCTCTACAATTTCACGCCTACCTGGTGAGATCTGTACTTTGCATCCAGAGTCCTGCTGTATTTTGTTAATCTGCTCTCCACCTCTTCCTATGACTGTAAAGCAAGGAGAATAATGCTGAGAAAATCTTGAGATAAAAGTAGAAAACTTATCTTCTAGCAGGTAAGTTTAAATAGAACACTTTTTCATCCTTCCTCAAAACGGATAGGAGAGCTTTCGAATATATTGGAAAAGCAGAAACAGACAAATCTTCAGCAGAAACAGGCAAACCCATTGTAAATATATTTTTTTCTATTTCAAGTGTATAACTTTTCCACTGTACAAACTGCATTAGCACAGTTAAGCTTAAGACTGCATTGTGTGCATGGAAAAAGTAGTTGGAATATTATTTCAAGATTCCTTCAATTCACCATTTACAGAAGGAATAATGGAGGATAAGTGATTCTCCTAAATGCCCAATTCAAACAATAGTATTGAAAGAAAGGTCTCAGAAGCAACAGAAAAAAGTACCTCAGCACCCATTCAGACAATCTCTAGCTTTCAGAGCGTGAATGCCAGGCCAATTTAAAGCTAGGGCTTTTGAACAAATTGCCTACTGCGAATCAATTCTCCCTTGCTTAGCTAAAACTCAACTTCAGGCAGTGTTTTGCAGCCACCATTCCTTCTGGCAAAAGGGAACTATGATCACTCACAGAAAGTTGATGAATCCAAAGCCAAAGCCACAAGCAATCCAACACGGAATTCTGAATGCCTGTTGCAACTCCTAGCCTGAGTGTCCAAAGGGAACCTGTATTGTTGATTGACAGCACTCCACCCCACCCAATTCCTGCTATGATGGGAAAGGCTTACATGATGTCTACCTCAAGTTCTCCTTAGAATCCAGCCCTCAACCATTTGATGAATGTAAAACTTGCTGAGACTTTTGTAGAACAGAATACCCACCCGGCATTGCTGGAGAAATCTTCCACATAGCTCTGAGTAGCATTACAAAGAAACGCATAATGCCTGTCATCTCTCTCCCAAAAAAAAAAAAAAAAAAAAAAAAATAACACCCCACACAAATAGGGCTACAAAGAAACAAACCTGCCTGAGCCTTCCCTGTAGGAAGCTCAGCCAACTGGCCATCGAGAAGCCAAAGCAGCACTGGTTAGTAAAGGTGAAGTAGCAGTCTTTCAACTATGGCAACAGCAGGTTTCTCTGCTCCCTGTCTAATACTCACTGAGTCCCACCATGCCATCAGGTACTCTGTACTCTTCAGTCACTGTAGACCTGCAAGGAAAACGGTC